AGCCTAGTGCATGTCCAGGACTGCCCCCACAGCCTGACCCCACCCCCGAAAGCTGCCTTGCGTCTGCGCGCGGCATTCAAGTGGGCCGAGCCAATAACCATCGCCTGCGCTGCCTCGGCAAAATACCTCGCAGGTGGCGGAACACATTGCCCATGACCAACCCACAGACCCTGCCGTTGAGTAGCCGAGGCCTTCATCCTGCAACCGACCTGGTTGCGCAGACTCTCCAGTGCGCCGAGCCGTGGAGCTTGTTGAGCGCCGATGCCGTATCCGGCGTTTCGGCATTTCGGCGTGGACGAGCAGGTCGGCGTGCTGGCCGAAACCGCCAGCTTGCGGCAACCAGGTAGCCACCGAGCTGGGCAGCCCACGTCGGTACATGTGACACGGCACTGCAGAAGGTTGCAGCTGCCGAATCAAGATTTTCCAGACGCGCAAAGGCAGTCGTTGCATGATCATGGTTGGAGGGCAAAGGACGGTCGGGGCTGCCGCGTCCGGGGTACTGTTCACACCCAAAAAGAAGAAGCCAGGAAGCGGGTGGTGGGGCCGCAGCGTCTAAATGAGAAAAGGAACCAACATAAAAACAGGATTCCAAATACGAAACTAAAATCAATATGCAAAACCAAAATGAACAACAGTTGAAAAAAGTAACAATATGGCAGTCTGAATCGGAACAGCGCCTGCATCAAAATGCCCAAAAATGGGAGGCTTCCTGCGGAAGTCAGCGAAAGGATGCGACTGTGAGACGGCACCGAGTTCTCTGCAGCGCGACGCGGGGGCCCAGACTCTGCTCGAGGAGCTGCAGCTCCGGCGCGCATCAGTGCATCGGGGTCGGGCAGCTCCAGCCCTGACATTCCACCTCCACCTCCAGGAGCTTTGCAGAGGCGAACAAGCTGAACGCGGCCTTCATAAAAGGCCAAGCCCCGACTCGAGCCAGCAAGCTTGGCCAAGCACCCGCGGGCTCTCGGGCGGAATCCAGCTTAGCTGCGACCGCTGTCTGTGATGGTCACCGCGCCTTCTTCAAGACTGCGCAAAATTCCACCGGGAGCGGCCGCTCGCGTTGTCCCCAGTTTTAGGACCCAGAACACCATGTTGAAAGCCGGTGTTCACAATACGCCAAACAGATTTGCTTGGAGTGAAAGACAGCGCACGCTTAATGGCGCATGCGTGCGTTGCGTTGCGTTGCGTTGCGCTGCGGGCGGTGCGGGCAGGCGTGCGTGCTTGCGTATAAAACGGCGCAAGAGCTGACAGGAGGGCGGTTGCCCAAGCTATTTGGCACGAAGTGTGCCAGATTGACTGTCCAAGCGCCTGAGTGCGCGGACGTCTGGAAAGCGACCTATCCGCATTCTCAACGGAACCTAACGTCTCACGTCGCCCCGCGTCGAACAAAACCCTCAGCTCACGGAACAAAGTGTGCACGGAGTGGCAAACACCACTCCAAAGTCAAAAGCTTCGAAGGACGGGAAATGGCTCGTGAACGGAACGCATGCTCAACCGCATGGGGTTTTGGATCTGTGCGTCAACTGTATTGGCAAACTTCGAGTGCAACGGACTTTGCGACAAGCCTGCGACAAAGCTCACATCGGCATGAACTTGCTCCAGTCTTGCACGTATACCTCGCATCTAAACGACAATGCAGGCAAAACGAAGAAACGGCCGTCGAGCGCATTCCAGGGCTGCTGGCACGCAAGTTGTGGCAAAGCGGAGATGCCGCGGATTGGTATGGTTGACTGTTCAGTAAATTGGTGAGACCCTCTCCTTCAGTTGACCTAGACTACTGTTGGCTCTTCAAGTCTTTCCGCTTTGCTGACTGCCCGCCTAGGAAAGAAGCAGCAGCGCCCTTTTTTGCACGAGACCGATGCTAACGACTCTGACCCGAAACCCTAAGATAGGTGCAGCTGGCTTGTCAAGGCAAACATGGTGCCCACTTCCAATCAATCTGCGAAAATCCGTGCACTCGAACCTTTCCCCCATTGCCCCAAATCATCCTCACTGCGGGCAAACCTTGGCAAAAAGGCTTTTGGGGAAGGCACGTCAGGCACAAACTTGCTGCCTGTTTGCCTAGGTCTCTGAGCGAAAGTGACGAATTCACTGCGGCTTTGTGTGCATCAAAAGCATGTCTTGCTGCCCGACGAAGAAATTGATATCTCTCATGCATCCACGGCATTGTTTGGCTGGCACGAGCTCATGTGTACTCCTCCAGAAAGAAGCGGCTTCAAATGACTGACATTCATTTCACGCGTATCATGCCACACTTTGTCAGCTGCAGGGCCTTGAATAAGTTTCCCTGTTTGGATTGATCATGCTGTAGATCACACATGACCCTTTGGCTGCTTCATTGGGAAAAGTTACACCACCCCTTGAAGAGCTCTTTCACTTTTTTCAAGAGGTCACTTTGACCAACGGTGAAAACGGCCAGGAGGCTGCAAAATGGCGGTGTGTGTGTGTGTGTGTGTCGCAGAGCTGGCCAGCATGCGCCTGGCACTCTGCCTTAGCTGAACAACGGAATGCCTTTGCGGGCGTCCTTCGCCAGCGAAACTGCAACAGAAAAACCCGAAAGCGATAGCAGAATGCTTGCGACACAGCCGAATTGGAATCTGGTTGAAGGAGTTGATTCGCAGAGTCGCAAAAGTCCGCTTGCGGGCTTCTGTCTCTGCTCTCTCTCAGACTTTGTGCAGCACAAGCCTTGTGCAACACTCAGAACAGCTGACGAAAAGTTGGCGATGATCGGAGGCCTGGTGCACATGACACGCTTTGGAGGGAGCCTGCGATTGCCAGAACGGCACGCAACTGGACCTACAAAGTACACCAACTGGAAGCCGCCCAACGGTGGGAAGCCGTTTCACTGCGCACGGACGGTGAGGTGTGGCGCACGTCTCAGCCGATTGTATATCCAGACGTTCATTTGCTCAATGCCTCGATGGCACATTTGGACCTCAGTCGCCCAAGGTGAAGCATCAAGGACTGTTCCTGCAAGTCAACAGACAGCAATTCAAAAAAAAACTCTTGTCAGACTCCCTCCAATGAAGCCGTGCGGAGTTCACTGGCGCAACGCGCAAACGAAAAGGACAACCTGAACCTGAGACGGAGATGTGCAAAAGGCCGACTCGGACGCGGTTTCAAGAATGGAAGGGAGCCCTGCGCAGCGCCAAAGAACTCTGAAGTCCACAGCTTCTTTCACGTCTGCTTGGGCTCGGCTGTTCAGACCGCCCAAAATCACGTGGAAGCATACCAAGTCACTAGGCGTAGCCGGACCTCGCAGGCCCCGCAGAGCCTCTGGCGGCCAAAAAAAAGTGCGCCTGTCAACAGATCGGCCCCGGCCACTTGCTACGGCCAATGCTGAATCCGAGAGGTCAATTCGAGCGGGAGTTTGGGAGAAAGAATGCAAGGCGCTTGCTCTGCGCGGAGCCTCCGGCCAAAGATGGTGTCAGCCAGGCGTTCTCAAACCATCTGCACTCCAAAGTGAGTTCCAACTCCTACTGCTGGTAACGACGTGGGTGACCATCCTGCACCCTGAATCATCCAAGCCATGGACGCACTCTCAAAAATCCGCTGGATCTATCTAACTGCTTGAGGTGCACATATTGCATAGGAATACACACACACAAACACACACACACACACACACACACACACACACACACACACACACACACACACACACACACACACACACACACACACACACACACACACACACACACACACACACACACACACACACACACACACACACACACACACACACACACACACACACACACACACACACACACACACACACACACACACACACACACACACACACACACACACACACACACACACACACACACACACACACACATTGCACGACCCCAAACCCCAACTCTATTGCACAACCCCGAACCCTAAAACAATTCTCAAACTCTGTCTCAGTGTGATGTGTCTTGTCTACATGCATCTGTCTCTGTCTTTGTCTCTGTGTGTCTGGTCTCTGTCTTTCCGTGTTGGTCTGTGTGTGTAATCATCTGTCTATGTTTCTGCCGGTCTATGCATGCGTCTGTCATTGTCTCTCTGTCTGCCTCTGTCTCTCTGTCTGTCTTCCTCTGTCTGCTTCTGGAGCAAAGATACAACAGCGAAAAAGAGACAGAAAAGCAAGCAAGGAAGGGAAGAAAAACAAAGGAAAGGAAAGGGCAGGGATGGACAAAAGAAACAAAGTAAGAAAGACAGCAAGAAAGAAAAAGAGAAAGAGAAAGAGTCCCAGAGAGACACGCCACAATCAGTGAGAGTGACAGCGAAAGCAAGAGGCCAGATTTCAGAATTCGGAGTGCAAGTTGATTCCTGGCTTTGGCATGCGCCACAGCCCCACAACGCACCATCTCCGCCTCGAACACGGCTGCGCCAGGAATCTTATGAAACATCCACCGACGCCAGCAATGATGGCAACGACCACAACCACAACCACCACTGCCGCCACCACCACCACCACCACCACCACCACCACAACAGAACAAACAACCGAGCAGTAAAACAACCAAACAAACAAACAAACAAACAAACAAACAAACAAACAAACAAACAAGCAAAACAAACAAAACAAACAACCCAACACCAATCAAACAACAATTTGTGTAGATATTAGCAAAAAAAGCTTTCATGTGTTTTTGTTGTTTTCCGTGCAATTTGTTGGAACAAAATGAGCAGATGTTTAGCAAGATTCGCTCGTTTTTGCAAGACACAGCTTCACAACTGTTGTTGGATGAAACCATCAAACAACCAAACCAACAAAATGCAGCTGTTATTGAGGCCCACCCCAAACCCTAAGACAGACAAAAGGGATGCAAGCAATGAACGGATGCAAACAAAGGATGCAAATGATGCAATGATGCTAAGGATGCAAAATAATGCAAAGGACGTAAAGGATGCAAAGCACGCAAGGGTTGCCAACAAATGCAAGTGATGCAGGAAGCTGGCAATGCAGCCATGCAGGGACTGCTGCGAGCTCTCACTTTCACCGCCACTCAAAGCGCGATGTGCATGGTGTGCAGCGCAGCCGCCAACCTCGCTTCGACATCGCCATGCGTCAGACATGATTTGTACCCCGTGCTTTCGCCATGTTTGGCCCATAAAAGAGACGCACAAGATAGATTCACACCAGTCCTGTAAGCACCGTAAGCACCGCGAGTCCTCGAAGCGTCTCCAAAGGGGGCCACTTGCACCCGGTCCACTGGCCCAGTGCCAGTCGAGCGCTCGAGCGGTCGAGTCGAGGTGCGCCGCAGCGCTGATGGCGAAGGCGGCCGCCATGGCGATGGCGAAGCGCCTGGCCGAAGGCAGGGCCGGCGGGCGGAGAGCACCCTGGAGGCGCGAAGCAAGGGACCCAAGAACCCCAAAGCCAAGACAGAGACAAGAAATGACAGTCCCAAGGTTTGGAGGTTTGGTCCCAAGTCCCTCGAAGAAAAAAAACAGACACGAGCTGCGAGGCATCTGGCCTGAAGCCCTTCCGCTGCCAGCCGTGGAGCTCGGCCACCGGGTCCTGGAGACGCTCGGCCGGCTCGGTGCGCTCAGATGGCACACGCTTGGAACCGATCTGAAGGCCAGCAAGGATCCGATCGGATCTGAGCAGAAGAAAAACACCTCGGAGTCCAACCAAAAATCGGACCGAGACCTGGGATCGTTACCAAGCTGCGCTTTCAACTTCTCAGCCCCTTTCGAGCGGCCTCCAGCCAGTGGAAGAAGATGGGGTGCTGGCTCACCATCTGCGCAGCCACATTCTTCGCCCCACAGAAACCCAGGGCGGTTCAAGGAAAGCACCAGACACCTTTGGCAGCCGGGATAGCCGGGAAAAAAAATCGTGTTTCGCCGCGAATTTGCCAAAAAAAAATGGCCGACTGGTCATGGTCCCAAGGCTTTCCAGCGATCTATGTCTCTCTCTTTGCCTTGTGCTTGCCAGCCGCCTGCACGACCGCCAGCCTGTCGAGAAAGCTGAGGCGAAACAAGGAACAAAATTTTGCTCAAGCACCGACCGGGGCCTGTAAAAGGGCACATCGGTGTTGTCCATAAGTCTCAGCCCACCTCTGGCAATTGCCAATAAATTGGCTGCACAGTCGCTTGGCTCAAATGGGGCCGCGGCTCTTGGCATGCTTGCTGCCAACATCGCCACACTCGAAGTGTGTCCCGTTCTGGCGAGGGCGCAGCTAAAGCAACACGCCCCCCCCCCCTGCAATTCTGCCATAGTCTGGGGAGAAGGACAACAATCATGATAATGCCTTGGCAGCTTTGCGGCACATTTCTGCTAGATACTTCCATCCCGGCTAGAGCAGCCCGACAACGCCTCGGAGCAGCAGTTCTTCCTTGGCTTCTCCCGAAAATCGGCCAACTCGGTGGCTCAATCCGGCGGGATCTACGCGACCCAAACGTCTCCAAGCGTCCCAACAGCCCAGAAGTCTTCGCCGCAGGGCTCACCTTCATGCGAGAGGGGCGATGCGCTCTGTTAATGAAATCCGACCAAGTGTATAGGAACCCTTCTAACTGAGAATTTGATGTGTGTGTGTGTGTTTCCTTTTACGCACGAGTTCAGCATTGCAACCGATCTTGCCAGCAACAGCTCAAGAATCCTCCATCCACCCCGAATGACTCAGCATGAACCGGTTGCCATTGGCCAAGTGAAACTCCCATTTGAGTCATAATCAAAACCCGGTATCAAAATGGTCTACCCAGAACCACGTAAAGAATTAAGAAGGCGGATATCCGCAGCTATTTATGACTGGGATTGTCCCTTACTAACGTTCATCTACCCGGGTTTTGAGCACGTGGCTCATTTGAAGATGACGCTCGTAACACGACTTCCTGGGCCAGGAGCCACAGTTCTTGTTCCGGATCGGCGCCACGCAGTACACGTCCGCCAGCTTGAAGCTGAAGGACCTCGACACAAATTCAAAGCATCGCAGAGAAAAAGATGCGCCGCAAGCGTACCTGTTGACATCCAGCACGGTGTCATGGTTGAAGTACACCTGCTGGGGCTGCCAAACAAAACAACATAACGTGTAGAGGTCTCTGATTCATCACCTTGTCTTCCGCAGTGCCCAAATTGGCTTGAGTTTTGGACTTGGAATCGTTTTTGGTGTTTTGGTTTGGCCTGCCACATTCCAGCTGGCAGGAGTCCGGTGTGGATAGGCTTAGATATCATCCCTTTCCGCTTCTGCGTGAAACTGTCATTGCACTTGGAACATGCGCAGCTCGATGGCACGCTGTTCGCCACGCTTAAACCCCAAAGCTGGCTGTGTGCAAAACAAACCTCCTCGCTTCGCAGCTCGTTCTTTGGCGCCAGCTTGTTCAGGGAAATCAAAAACTTGGGGTTTTTCTGAGAGGCATATTCAATTCACGAATTGGTCGTTTGCTCATATTGCACGCATAGCTTACGTGCCTGGCCCGCATCCTGGAAACGACCCCCGCTGGTCGGCACCACCTGCGAAAAAGTCTTGCAGCAGATCCTTTTGGGGCGTTGGTTGGGGGGGCGGAGCAACCCAAAAGAAGACACGCGGAGCCGCCTGGCCATCTGCCAGGCGTGTCGAAGATGGATCCACCTGAAGGCAAGGATGCGAAAAAACGAAGGCTGGAATGGATCAAAAGAGCGTTTCTTCTCACTCCCGGCCACCTCTCAAGTGCCTATTTTTGCGTGGAGCTGTCCTCAACTTTGCAAAAGTAGGCTTCCTCCCGGACTTGAGAGGAAACCGGCCAGAACGAATTCACGCAAAGGGCTTCCCAAGCCATTCCAGGTTGCCTGGCGGCCCTGGACACCATTTAGTAGTTCGATTCTGCAAGTGCCGCGTGTGGTGCCCCCTACAAACCGACCGAGCACAACAGGGTTATCGAAATCCTCCAGACTGTTCTCTTGATTGGCACATGGACCATGCTTCGACGGCTCTCCGTGCCTTTGCACAGCCAAACGAAACGTAGCTACTCTCTGGACGTGATGCTGATGCGAATGCCGACCTCGCCTTCCCTACTCGATCAACCCTGCAGCAAGCTCTGCGACGTCGCAAAAAAAACCCGAGGATCTTTTAAAAAAACCCGCCGACCTCTCGGATTTGAACCTCCGGCCTCGGTGTAGGACACCATCAGCTGCGCGGCGTAGCTCGGCTCCATGAAGCTGTAGAAAGTGAAGTCCCCCAGGACCTCGCGACCCATATCCCAACCGTCGGCCAAAGGCATGGCATGGGATGGGATGTCGAAAAAGACACGCGGGGGAAACCAAGGCATTGGAAGAAACACGGAGGGTGTGGGATGGCCATTGAAAAAAACGCAGGAAACCCCGTGTTTTAGAGATGAGATGTGTCAACCACCAAACTCAGGACAAGTCATAAATGGTCAAATTTGGGGGGCCATTTGGGGAATATTGATCAAACCTCAGGTGCAACGCTTCATTTTCTTTCTCCCGCTTCCGTCCCTCTGTACAGAGGTGCCCCCAAGGGACGTGGAATCATCGACCCATCTCTTGCGTTCTCGGCGAAACAAATCCCATCCATCCGTTGCCTTACCTTTGGTGGTGAAACCAGTCGAGGCACCTCGCTCATGCACGGAATAGCAAGTGCTGCAAGCGAGACCTGCTCGAAGCTGTGTTAGTATAAATCGTTGGTTATGGATCCTGCCTGAGCTTATGGCACAAAAGTGCTGGCTTTCTGCCAAGTCAAACGTGGTATTCAAGAAAGCTCGAACGCGGCATTCAAGAAAGCTCAGCAACTCCACAAACAACCAGTCGGAAGTTGACAGGTCATTGTTTCAAGCTAAGTTCTGAAACTCTTGCCCAGGCCCCAGTTCCCTCCCTGTCACCTAATAGCCTAAGCTCAAGCCCAAGATACACAAATTGACTTCAAGAGCGCCAGGCTCCGGCAGCCTCCGCTGGTGAAACTGTGAAACGGACCACCGGCGCGCGCATTAGTTCACCTCAGCTCCGGTATCCGCAGGCAGGGCACCATGCAATATCAGGATCAATCGGTTTCAGTGGAAAGGGACAACCAAAAACTGGCTTTAAAGAATGAGCCCAGCAAACTGCAATATGGGTGTGAATTGTGATGAGGGTGGACATCATTTGGGGATTCCACCAACCATTAAGATTCAGAGCCATATGGCCATGGGTCAAAACCCCGTACTTGCAGTGAACATCCGATTCAATCCAACCACTAAAAAAAGGTAACCTAAAATGGGTGGTGAATTCACCAATCCCAAAATGGTATCCCAAAACGGTTTTGACCACAGCCAAATCCAAGTCGCCATTTTTGAAGGTGACCTTAAGACTCGCCACAAAGCCGCCGGACCCCCGACCCCCGCCTTGGTGACCAGCCGCGCCGGCGTGAGCGACGTCGCCGTCTGAATGGCCTGACGGGAGAGCTCGAACTTGCGATCGGTGTCAGAGGGAAACTGACAGGGGTTGAAGGACTTGGTCCCAAGGAAACCGCAGTTGCCGGGTCTATTTCGGGGGTCCTTCCATGTCTCATGCCAGGCACCGATCGCAAGTCTACTTTGAAAGTCGGAGAACAAAAAGGGCTAGCCATCAGATGCAAAATGGCCTCGAATCCGATCTCCTCCTGCTCGACGCCCAAGGCTTGCAGCTTGCTCTCCTTGTCTCCAGTACGGGGCGAAGGAAAAACCGTGTTGTTGTTTTTTTCAAGGAAAACCCAGCCCAATGATTTGGCCATGGGTCAAAAGCCAAAGCCCGTACCTGCGGTGAACATCAACCAATCCAACCACTAAAAATGGGTTTTCTGAAATGGGTGAAGTCACCTACCAACCAAAATGGGATCCCAAAACGGTTTTGAACCATGGCCATTTCATGACAACCCAACCCAATGATTCTCGAAAAGTCCTGCGTCGTCACAGCCACCGAAACTCTTAGCCTGTGGCCTCTTTCCGGGCGCTGTTTTTTTGCTTTGGCCGAGCGGCGTAGACACGGATGGTGTCGTTGTACTGCTTCGTGGCCTGGTGCACCTGACACATTGAGCTCTCTTTTCTCTCCCTCTCTCTCTCTCTCTCTCTCAAGAATGCTTTATCAATGACCGAGCAACCTGGTCTTTTGACAAGGGCACACGCCCATATTTCTTTCTTCTTTTTTTTGGGGGGGGAGGGGCATGATGTGCCCTCGAGTTTCATTTGTCACAGCCGCCTGGTACTGCAGGTCCTGAAACAAGCGGGCAGCAAGCAAGCGCAGCTTGTGACGCGCTGGGGAAGTTCTTGGCGTCACTTCCGCTCCTTGATTTGCCGGTTCTTGGCACCCAGGACTTGCTCCAACCTGAGGCGCCAAACGGCTCCGAGTGTCGCGACCATCCAAGTCACAAGGCATCTCCATGGGCTTCAGGGGGAGCATTCAACTCCGATGTTTTCCCCCAAAATCCCATCCGAATTTCTTAAGCCATCCCATCTTCCTGAAACCCGGAATTTCTTGAGCCCCCCAAAACCCCTTCCGCGGAAGGAAGCAAACCTCGCTCGCTGCTGCGCTCCAGTTCGCGGCTCGAGCTGAGGCGGCGCGCTTCTTGGTGACGTTGGCCACGATGGTGGGGTCCAGCCGAGCGTTGCTCAGCACCTCCGACAGCTGCGCCTGCTTCCTGAAACGAGAAACTGAAGCATCGGCCCATCGACGGATCGACATGACCGGTGCCAACAACGAGCCACCGGGCTCGAAAAAGGCGAGAGCTCGTCCGTTCAGATGCAACCCGCTGCATTCCTTGCAACCAAGCGGCTCTTCGAACTGGGCGGACAGTGCCTCGAGCTTCTTCTCCAACACCACGTTCTTGCCCAACTCCGCCTCGCGTGCCCAGAAGAGTAACACTCACAACCCGGTACCAACAATGGTCCACCCAGAACTCCATGCTTCAAGAACTATGGCGGACGTCCGCAGCTATGTTTCTGGCAAAGGGATCCTCCCAATTACTGAGCTTCACCAATCCCCGAATCAGTTTTGAGCACGTGGCTCAGAAAACCAGGGCTCGGCGCACCCAACTCTTGACAGCGCCCGCCTTCCTCTGGATCTCCTGTACCGCCTTTCTAAAGCGCTTGTACAGGTCCTGGCTCGACGTCAGTTGCGCGAGCCCAGTCGATCCGGAAGCAACCAGGAACCGCGTGAACGTAACCGAAGCGACAGCTGCTTTTTAAGCTTGGCGCGTCTCTCTCTTTCTCCATTTTTCGGTATTTGTCCTGCCGGGACAAAAAAATCGAAGGCTCCGTTCCCAGCATTTGCCGTCTCCTCGCAGGCCCGGTACTCCTGCTTGGCCTCTGAGATTTGCTCCTATCACCAGATCACCAAATGAGCCATCAGCCATGAGGCATATGCCGTTGCCCGTGACAGCAGAAATCGGCGAGCCCGTGGGAAACTTACAGTGTTCCCCATATGGCCTTGGGTCAAAAGCCCGTACCGCTCGTGAACATCAACCAATCCAACCACTAGAATAGACTAAAATGGGTGGCGAATTCACCTACCAACCAAAATGGTACCATTGCTTACCCACAAGCATATTGATCTGTGGACGCATGGAATGTTGACCGAACACAGCCCGCCTCAAGCCTCTTGTAGTGAGCCTTGAGGTTCTTCAGCGCCATCTTGTCCTTGGTGTAGGTCTTGAGCTCCTCCTCAAGATCCCGCTGGTCCGCCAGCTTGTCCTGACATGGCAAATCAAAAGGTCCGAAAATGGGCCACAGACCATAGAGGGAAGCTTCACCACATGAGAAAAGTTAAACTTCACCAAACAAAAACAAAAAAACGCTGGGGGATGTTTGGGGAATATTTTTCGATCCACGACCCACAGGGCTCCCAACGCGCAAGTCCGCGCCTCCAAGGGCTTGGTGAGGTCCCGATTCTCCTGGCGCAGGCATTCAACTCAACTCGGCCGGAAACGTTTCGGGTTCCAAACCTGGCGGAGAAGGTCCATCTTCTTCTTGTTGGTCTTCTCCTTACCGTCTTCTGCAGTCCATGAAACTCCGCCTTCGCCGTGGCGAAGCCGGGCTCTGAGGCCGCAACCTTCTCCTTCATCTCGTAGATCTCGTCCTAACGGCAAGCGCCTTTGAAGAAAGACTCGCTCGAGCTTTTCTTTTTTCGGCTGGAAACCACGGACAGAAATATGGCCATGGGTCAAAATCCAAATCGTCCAGTGAACATCAACCAATCCAACCACTAACGTAGACTAAAATGGGTGGTGAATTCACCTACCCCAAAATGGGATCTCATTGGTTTTGACCACCACAGCCATATGGAAAGGAGGGAAGGGAATTCATTCCACTGTGGAGCCTCTAGGCTCACGAACTTTTTCATCACTTCGGAAATCCTTCAAGGATTTGATCAGCTGAAGGTTGTCGTGGGTGATGTCGTTGTAGTAGGCCTACCCGGGCAAACCGCCGAGTGAAACCCAGCGACTGCCTTGCCGCCCGCCCAAGGCCCCGCCTTGATCTCGTCGAAGGCCTCCTGGTGATTGGAGAACAGCTCGTTGATGTGCCTCGAAAGCGCGGGAAAGCCCATCACACTGGGGAAAGGGCTACAAGTGAAGTATCTCACCGAAGAGCGATCTGCCAAGTCCTTCATCTCACTGGAAAAGGGCGAATTACAAGTGAAGTCCTTCCGTTTTTCTGCTGAGTTCCTGGCTGGTTCTTGCGCTCCTCGATCTCATGGATCTCCACCTCACAAACTTGACATGGAGCACGGAGGTGAACCAAAAAACAACAAACAAACAACAAAAAACAGCTGCCTTCCGGCGCAGCTCCAGGTCGACCTTGAGCTGCTCCACCTGCTCCTCGTACTGAGCCTCAGCTTCGGCCAAATGGCCATGGGCTTTTCAAAATCCAAATCGTTTGGCCCCCAGTGAACCTCCGATTCAATCCAACCACTAAAATAGGTTTCACCGACCAAAATGGGATCGATCCAAAACGGTTTTGACCACAGCCAAATCCGAGCGGGACTTCGGCGCCTGCAGCTGCTGGTGGTTCTGATCGAAGGTATCCCGCAGATTTTGCAGCCGCTTGGCGAAGCCCTCGGCGTCGGCCGCGAATCGGTGGTCAAAATAGTTGGGAACTGGGGCCAATCGGCCTGGTGGTCAATAAATGGCTGTGGCGCGACCCGGTACATGGAAAGTACTTTTATTCCTGCGGCCTATATCATACCCAATTCATTTCAAAAAGGAGCATCACCGCGTCACTAGTCCAACTTCTCGTCCAAACCACGTCCAAAACGAAGAGCTCTGAGAGCGAGCACAGGCATCACCCCCATCGGCCCGCCTGGATCAGCATCTTCACCTGGCCCTCGTTCTCCAGCTGGGTCTCCCGAATCTCCCGCTTCAGGTCCAGCTTCTCCTGGCCATGAAAATTTGTGAGAAGGCCGTGGCTCAAAAAACCGGAATTCCCCAAAATGGGTTGCCTGGTAAGTGGAAACATGGACCAAAACCTGCGGTTTGCCCCTCCTGTTCATTTTGAGCCACACCCATAAGGGTTTCTTCGGTGGTGCGAAATGGAGTTCGTCCATCCACAGTATGGCCATGAATTTTCATAGGGAACCATCTCAACAGTGGCTGGACAGAAATCCCCACCCGAATGGCCCATTGAAATTCACCCCCCTCCTTGTTCATCTTCAGGAGCTGCTCCGAGTGCATGTCTCTCCTCAGCACCCGAAAGGAGAGACGAGACAGGCGCCTTTCATATGGCTGCGGGTCAAAAAAGGCTAACCCCAAGATCGAACCCTGGCAAATGGAAAGAAAAGATGCGGTCCGATTCCTGAGATTCCTGGGGGTTTTATTTTGACCCATGCCCATCGCACAGCAGCACCAACTCGGGGCCCTTAGTTTGACCCAGAAAGAGGTGATCGATCTCCTCTTTCCATGACTAGAACAATGAGCCAAACCAGGGAAACCAAAAGGTGAACAGGTCGATCCGCATGCAAGTCACCGGACGCACGTTGCGTACATCTGAAGGCACCTGGAACCCCCAAAAACAAGCCCGCATGGGGCCATCCGTAAATCTGAAGGCACCTCGAAGCGCCAGAAGAAGAAAAAAAAACACATACGCCGCAGGAAGCCGGGCGGCTCTTTCTGCACGTCGTTCTCCCCCGTGTCATGCACCTGGTGCTTCGCCTCCTTGTGCTCGTACTCGAGGTTTTGCACCTGCAAAGAACTTCTTTTTTTTGGGGGGGGATCTCTCAGGCGATGGCACAAGCCGATGGGGCCCAAGGATTCAAGTCACACCTGGACACCTTCACTCGTTGGCATAGAAAAAGCATCTCGGAACCTCGGGGCCTAGGGGCCTCGATCCTAGCTCGTCAAAAGGAGCACGCAGTGAGGTCTGCTCAGGAAGCGGTTGGGGAGATACCGAGATACTGCCACAAAGCCCAGACGGATGCGCCTTCTGCTCATGGACCTTGATGTGCACGCGAAAGTCGCGCTCTAAGATCTCCATCTTGCCTGGCTTCCCGAACGTTGAGCAAGGGTTGGCTTGACTGGAGAATGCGATTTGCCATGCTCCCGTCTTCTGCTCTCCGATTCACATCCAAACAGAATGTGAGGCCCTTCCAGTGGAGCTCGCTGAAGCGCGTCTGCGGGGCGGTCCATGTTCAGAAGCTCTGCGTCGATCTGCTTCACCTCCGACTTGGTGATCTCGTAGAACCTGGCAAGATCTAGCGGGGGCGCCTGAACCGCGGGCGCGCTCCGCCCCGCCAGATTCCCCACACAGGACCTCCAAGAGCCAGTAAAGCGCAACATGCGCAACATACGGCCCCCGCCTGTTCACCATATCCTCGGCGCATCCGGCGGCGGGTATGCTTTTTTCAGCACCAAAAATCTGACAGCCGGGTACAAGCCAGTCCAAGCCAGGCCAGCTGAGTCCGGGGCCTTCTCAAGCTGCATGTAGTTTCTGTCTTTGGCAGCCTGCGAATCTGAAGAGCACCGCCCGCTTAAGCCTCAGACCTCGCCTTGCTGAGCCGGTACTGCAGCGCATCGATGCGGTCCCGCACATTGGGGATCGTGAGCTCCTCACGGACCAGAAACCTCTTTCTGCTGCACAAATATGGCTGTGGTTGTCAAAACCCAGGAAACCACTGGTGAACATCCAAATTGGTGGCAAATGGATGTTTCCACCCCAAAATGGAGAAATCCATAGGTTCTGCAACCCATGGCCATATGTCACATTGGACCTTGGTAGAGTTTTCTTTCCATGTCAGAAAAAAACGCCACCAGCCTCCACCCACAACACGTCTCTGCGCGTCTCCGCTCTCGTCCCTCTCGTGCGAACTCCTTGAGGTCGGGATCGATCTCCACCTCGGGCTCCGCCTGCTTCTTCTTGCCGCCCTTCTTGCCCATGGCGCCTTCGGGCCGGCGGTTTCTCTTTTCTCCGCGAGAAGCAGCGCCGCAGGTTTGTGGGGAAGGGGGGGAGGGGTTCAGAAGCTGGTCGTTAAAAAAAAAAAAAAACGATGACGGGACTCTTAGGACGACATGAACCATGAGCAACTCCGTCCTGATCATCCTCCAGCCCTGTTCCCCCAAATCACCACGTCAACAGTTCCGCCATTTCAGCGACCCGGCCTGCGCGCCCGCGCGCCCGCGCCCGCGCGGCGCCGGCCTGCGGCCTGCGGCCTGCGGCCCCTCTTGAGCCGAAACGTGGGCTGCGAGCCCGAGCCGTAGGGCGCTGGGCTTCGGGGCATCCGAAGGGCGCTTTTCTAGAAGAAGCACTTCCATTTCCATTCCTTCCATCTGAATCTTTTCAGAAAACCATCAGAACAGGGGAAACAGCGGGTTTTTGAAGAGAACGATGGTTGAAAAGAATGCCCTAGAGCTTTGCTGGGCATGGGGCCCATCCCGCCACTGCCGCGAGGAGCGTCGCCGCTGTGATATAGACGGGATAGAACCTGGCACTGTGCCCTCTCAAGCTTGCGTCCGTCCTTCTCACCAAAGAAACAAGACATGAAACAAAAGACTCTTGACCACGATCCAAGCTTCTTTTATTTTTCCCCCTTTTTGTGAGCTTTCCTCGAAGCTCGGATCGCTGTGGGTTCAGCCCATTTGCCCAACGCCAGCCACTTCCAGCCGCTGAGCACGGCGCCCCTCGCTGGGCCCTCGCTTCCAACTCTTCCAGGCCCAGGGCGCGCGGTGCAGGCACCTCGAAACCGACCGAAACCGACCGAAATCCCCGTGTCCAAAGCCCCGTCCAGAAACATTAAAAAAAAAGAAAAAGCCCATAACATGTGCTTCTCCTCGAAGTATTTTCCTGGGGGAAAAAGAAGAAAGACGGCATCCAAGAAAAAAGGCGGGGAAGCCTACGGGCGGAACAGGCTTGATCTCTTTAAGCTCTTTCGCAGCTATATCTCGTTGTCATTGGCGCAACTTTGTGCAGCCGGCATGGAGCACCGCACAATGCTCAGGAAGTGGCAGCTCTTTGTCTGCCGAAGCGCGGCTACGCGGAATCGGACGACTCACTCTCCACTGGTGGCAGCTCGATCTTTGAGCTCGCCTCAGCTTGAGGCAAATGCTACCCAACTCAGGATGTCAGCGAACGTCAATAGCCATAGGTGTCAGCTTAGGGTACATAGATGGTTTTCCCTGGTAGATGATTAAACCACCAGGTAAACCAGGAATCGCCATCTATTCTTCGACCAAAACGACCAAAAAAGGACATCTATGTCAATAGCTTGCAGCTAAACCCTAAGACAGCACAGCCGACATGCAGCCTGGCAGCGCGAGGCTGCGCGCTCAGCTCACGGTACTTCGCTATCACCTCCTCAAGATTCGAACACGTGGCTGTGGGTCAAAACCCTGCACCCCTGGTGAACATCAAAATAGGTGGTACATGGGTGCTCATCCGCCCCAAAATGGAGGCATAGGTTATGACCCATGGCTTATGACCCATGGCTTATGACCCATGGCTTATGACGCATGGCCACGTTGTAAGCTCCAAGCGACCTCTTGCTGAATGCATCCAATGCAACGCGCGCGTTTGAGAAAGCAACAGAACCACGCGACATCCTCGGATCTGCCGCAGAAGACGTCATCCAATAGCAAGGCCTGCTCATCTGGGTTCAGAAGGTCCAGCCTCGATGCAGGATTTCTCGGCCGAGCGGAGGTCGTTTTGCATGGCTTTGGTTGTGCTGTTTGCTGGACAAGTCTGTCTTTTCACATTGACCTGCTGAACGGAAGCTTGTAGTTTGCAGATGCATTCGAGGAGGAACTCGCTGAAACCTCCGAGGCCCACACTTACTCTCCACGGTCACACCGATCGCGCCCACCGCTTCCGTGTCGATGTTGTCTTTCAGAGAATCTGCAGAGACACCGCGCTGCGTTTTGGACAGTAACATCTGAGTTGCGCCACCTTCCTCGGTCCAGCCCACAAAATGTGTCCTTTTTGGCGGATGAAAAAAAGATCGGACCCCAACTGATCAGAGGAGCTTTCCCCGCAAACCAACAGTCTTCATGATCTCCCCCGTGCGGGTACCCCATCTTTTCTTGGTGCTCCGGACTCGACTCCGACCTCTGACTGACTGCCGAGCCACGAGCTTTCCTCAGGTGGAAGCCTCGAAAGAAAAAAAAAAAAAAAACCGACCGCGTGTCCGACAACGCGCGCGCGCGCGGAGGAAGCGAAGCGGCGCTGCGCGCGGAGCCCAAAGCTTTTTGAGACGAGGCGCCCATGTGCTTCAGGTGATTGCTGATGGTGATGGCGATCCTCGGGCGCCAATCGCAGGAGGATCGCGGGGAATTCTTGGGCTCGCACCATTGTCCGGAACAAACATGGAGATAAAAAAAAATAGAGAAAAAAAAAGGAAAAAGAAGAAGAAAAAAGGAAAAAGAAGAAAAGAAAAAAGGAAAAAATGAAAAAGAAAAGAAGAAGCCCGAGGTCCCCGCGCGGGGCAGAAGAAGAAGCCGATGAGGACGCAAATGAAGACCAGGCCCATGCCATTGCGAGGGAAGTGCCGGCAGGTTGTCCTCGAATCGGACCCACTGCTCGCGCCAAAAAAAAAAATCACGTCGTATTCGAATTGGGCGCTGAACAAACCCACGGCCAGCTCAACAAATGCAATGCAGTCAGTGCGTGCGGGGAAAAAAAGAAGAAAAAAGGGTAGCTCGCTCCATCATGTGAGTGACAATCAAAACCCGGTATTAAAATGGTCTACCCAGAAGTATGTAAAGAACTAAGAAGGCGGGCGGAACTACTTCTGGCTGGGACTGCCCCTTACTAACCTTCATCTACCCAGGTTTTGATTGTGGCTCATGTCTTTCTGGGGCACCTCCTCCTAAGCCCATCAGAAATCCCATTTCCACCCGTCACCCAAGCATTTGCCGGCCCCCAGCTTGACAAGTCCAAGAGGCTCGTGGATGATCGAGTGGTAGTAGGGCCAAATGTTCTTGGCGGAAACGAAGTCGTATGCCCCCTGTGTCGTCCTAACATGTGACGGGACACAAAGCAAACTCCTGTCAAACAAAGAATGCTCTCGGGCACGTGTGGCTCAAAAAAAAAAACACATAGCACCTTGGCAAATGGAAGAAAGAAGACTCAAAACTGCGCAACCCTAGCGCGCCACACCCACATGCCAACTAAATGTACACACAAGGCAACTTGGCAAATGGACAAATGCGAAACCCTAGCTCTTTAGTTTTAGCGTCACACCCTCATGTCAATTGTCTGTACCTTGTCAAATGGAGAAAAAAGCCAAAACCTGCATAACCCTGGCTGGTTGATTTTCAGCATCACACCCTCATTTCAATTAAATGTACCCACATAGCACCTTGGCAAACGGAAGAAAAAAACCAAAACCTGTGTAACACTAGCTCTTTGATTTTCAGCGCCGCACCCACATGTCAATTAAATATACACATGGCAACTTGGCAAATGGAAAAATGCGAAACCCTAGCTCTTTAATTTTAGCGTCACACCCTCATGTCAATTGTCTGTACCTTGTCAAATATAGGGGGGAGGGGGGGGAAAACTGGCTGTTTGATTTTCAGCATCACACTCATGTCAATTAAATGACATGTCAACTAAATGTACCCACATGGCACCTTGACAAATGCAAGCAAAAAAAGACCAAAACCTGCGTAGCTCCTTAATTTTCAGCGTGACAGGCACATGTCAATTATATGTACCCGCATGGCACCTTGGCAAATGCAAAAAAAAAAAAAAAACTGTGTAACCCTAGCTCTTTATTTTTCAGCGTCACACCCGCATGTGAATTAAATGTGCCCAAATTGCACCGTGGCAAATGGAAGAAAAGAACCAAAACCTGCAAAAACCCTAGCTCTTTAATTTTCAGCGTGACACGCACATGTCAATTACATGTACCCACATGGCACCTGAAAAAAAGGCTAAAACCTGCGTAACCCGAGCTCCTTAATTTTCAGCGCGACAGGCACATGTCAATTACATGTACCCACAAGGCACCTTGGCAAATGGAAGAAAAAGACCAAAACCTGCGTAACCCTAGCTCTTTGATTTTCAGCGTCATCCCACATGTCAACTAGATGTACCCACAAGGCACCTTGGCAAATGGAAGAATAAAGACCAAAACCTGCATAACCGTAGCTCTGTAATGTTTGGTGTTACACCCACATTTCCATTACATGTACACACATAGCAACTTGGCAAATGGAAGAATGCGAAACCCTAGCTCTTTAGTCAATTGTCTGCACCTTGACCAAAACCTGCATAACCCTGACTGTTTGATTTTCAGCGCCACACCCACATGTCAATTACATATACACACATGGCAACTTGGCAAATGGAAACGTGCGAAACCCTAGCTCTTTAATTTTAGCGTCACACCCTCATGTCAATTGTCTGTACCTTGTCAAATATAGGGAAAGGGGAAAACTGGCTGTTTGATTTTCAGCATCACACTCGTGTCGATTAAATGACATGTCAACTAAATGTACCCACATGGCACCTTGGCAAATGGAAGAAAAAGACCAAAACCTGCGTAATGTAGCTCTTTATTTTTCAGCGTCACACCCACATGTGAATTAAATGTACCCAAATTGCACCGTGGCAAATGGAAGAAAAGGACCAAAACCTGCAAAAACCCTAGCTCTTTAATTTTCAGCGTGACACGCACATAAAACCTGCGTAACCCGAGCTCCTTAATTTTCAGCGTGACAGGCACATGTCAATTAAATGTACTAGTACCCACAAGGCACCTTGGCAAACGGAAGAAAAAAAACCAAAACCTGTGTCAGCGCCGCACCCACATGTCAATTAAATATACACACATGGCAACTTGGCAAATGGAAAAATGCGAAACCCTAGCTCTGTAATTTTAGCGTCACACCCTCATGTCAATTGTCTGTACCTTGTCAAATATAGGGGGAGGGGGGAAAACAACTGGCTGTTTGACTTTCAGCATCACACTCATGTCAATTAAATGACATGTAAACTAAATGTACCCACATGGCACCTTGGCAAATGTAGGCAAAACAAGACCAAAACCTGCGTAATGTAGCTCTTTATTTTTCAGCGTGACAGGCACATGTCAATTATATTTACCCGCATGGCACCTTGGCAAATGGAAGAAAAAGACCAACACCTGTGTAACCCTAGCTCTTTATTTTTCAGCGTCACACCCACATGTGAATTAAATGTACCCAAATTGCGCCGTGCCAAATGAAAGAAAAGGACCAAAACCTGCAAAAACCCTAGCTCTTTAATTTTCAGCGTGACACGCACATGTCAATTACATGTACCCACATGGCACATGAAAAAACAAGACCAAAACCTGCGTAACCCGAGCTCCTTAATCTTCAGCGTGACAGGCACATGTCAATTACATGTACCCACAAGGCACCTTGGCAAATGGAAGAAAAATACCAAAACCTGCGTAACCCTAGCTCTTTATTTTTCACACCCGCATGTGAATTAAATGTACCCAAATTGCGCCGTGCCAAATGGAAGAAAAGGACCAAAACCTGCAAAAACCCTAGCTCTTTAATTTTCAGTGTGACACGCACATGTCAATTAAATGTACCCACATGGCACCTGAAAAAAAAAGACCAAAACCTGCGTAAGCGTGACAGGCACATGTCAATTGCATGTACCCACAAGGCACCTTGGCAAATGGAAGAAAAAGACCAAAACCTGCGTAACCCTAGCTCTTTATTTTTCAGCGTCACACCCGCATGTGAATTAAATGTACCCAAATTGCACAAACTTTATGAACACCATATCTTTGATTATGATCTCTGCTTGAATGGGATCTTCGTATCAAGAGATTCGTTCCTATGTCCCTCGCAATGTGTAGCAGTTTGGCATCGTACAATCATAATGTTTGTCCCCGGTCCAAACAACATTCAGGACAGTCCTTGTTTCCGGGGCGACTGCTGCTAGCCAGTACTTTGAAGGCACGCGCAAGGTTTGGCCCCAATCCTGGTTTTGGTACCCAATTACATAAGAAACCTCGTGGAAGAAAAGGACCAAAACCTGCAAAACCCCTAGCTCTTTAATTTTCAGCGTGACAGGCACATGTCAATTATATGTACCCGCATGGCACCTTGGCAAATGGAAGAAAAAGACCAAAACCTGTGTAACCCTAGCTCTTTATTTTTCAGCGTCACACTGTGAATTACATGTACCCAAATTGCACCGTGGCAAATGGAAGAAAAGCACCAAAACCTGCAAAAACCCTAGCTCTTAATTTTCAGCGTGACACGCACATGTCAAGTACATGTACCCACATGGCACCTAAAAAGGAAAAGACCAAAACCTGCGTAACCCGAGCTCCTTAATTTTCAGCGCGACAGGCACATGTCAATTACATGTACCCACAAGGCACCTTGGCAAATGGAAGAAAAATACCAAAACCTGCGTAACCCTAGCTCTTTATTTTTCACACCCGCATGTGAATTAAATGTACCCAAATTGCGCCGTGCCAAATGGAAGAAAAGGACCAAAACCTGCAAAAACCCTAGCTCTTTAATTTTCAGCGTGACACGCACATGTCAATTACATGTGCTCCTTAATCTTCAGCGTGACAGGCACATGTCAATTACATGTACCCACAAGGCACCTTGGCAAATGCAAGAAAAATACCAAAACCTGCGTAACCCTAGCTCTTTATTTTTCAGCGTCACAGCATGTGAATTAAATGTACCCAAATTGCACCGTGGCAAATGGAAGAAAAGGACCAAAACCTGCAAAAACCCTAGCTCTTTAATTTTCAGCGTGACACGCACATGTCAATTAAATGTACCCACATGGCACCTGAAAAAAAAAGACCAAAACCTGCGTAAGCGTGACAGGCAGATGTCTATTGCATGTACCCACAAGGCACCTTGGCAAATGGAAGAAAAAGACCAAAACCTGCGTAACCCTAGCTCTTTATTTTTCAGCGTCACACCCGCATGTGAATTAAATGTACCCAAATTGCACCATTGCAAATGGAAGAAAAGGACCAAAACCTGCAAAAACCCTAGCTCTTAATTTTCAGCGTGACACGCACATGTCAATTAAATGTACCCACATGGCACCTGAAAAAAAAGACCAAAACCTGCGTAAGCGTGACAGGCAGATGTCTATTGCATGTACCCACAAGGCACCTTGGCAAATGGAAAAAAAAGACCAAAACCTGCGTAAACCGAGCTCCTGAATTTTCAGCGTGACAGGCACATGTCAATTACATGTACCCACAAGGCACCTTGGCAAACGCAAGAAAAAAAAGAAAAAAAAACTGTGTAACACTAGCTATTTTCAGCGCCGCACCCACAAATATACACATGGCAACTTGGCAAATGGAAAAATGCGAAACCCTAGCTCTTTAATTTTAGCGTCACACCCTCATGTCAATTGTCTGTGTCAAATATAGGGGGAGGGGGGAAAAAACTGGCTGTTTGATTTTCAGCATCACACTCATGTCAATTAAATGACATGTAAACTAAATGTACCCACATGGCACCTTGGCAAATGTAAGCACTAAAAGACCAAAACCTGCGTAATGTAGCTCTTTATTTTTCAGCGTCACACCCGCATGTGAATTAAATGTACCCAAATTGCACCGTGGCAAATGGAAGAAAAGGACCAAAACCTGCAAAAACCCTAGCTCTTTAATTTTCAGCGTGACACGCACATGTCAATTACATGTACCCACATGGCACCTGAAAAAAAAGAAAGACCAAAACCTGCGTAACCCGAGCTCCTTAATCTTCAGCGTGACAGGCACATGTCAATTACATGTACCCACAAGGCACCTTGGCAAATGCAAGAAAAATGCCAAAACCTGCGTAACCCTAGCTCTTTATTTTTCAGCGTCACAGCATGTGAATTAAATGTACCCAAATTGCACCGTGGCAAATGGAAGAAAAGGACCAAAACCTGCAAAAACCCTAGCTCTTTAATTTTCAGCGTGACACGCACATGTCAATTAAATGTACCCACATGGCACCTGAAAAAAAAAGACCAAAACCTGCGTAAGCGTGACAGGCAGATGTCTATTGCATGTACCCACAAGGCACCTTGGCAAATGGAAAAAAAAACGACCAAAACCTGCGTAACCCGAGCTCCTGAATTTTCAGCGTGACAGGCACATGTCAATTACATGTACCCACAAGGCACCTTGGCAAATGGAAGAAAAAGACCAAAACCTGCGTAATGTAGCTCTTTATTTTTCAGCGTCACACCCGCATGTGAATTAAATGTACCCAAATTGCACCGTGGCAAATGGAAGAAAAGGACCAAAACCTGCAAAAACCCTAGCTCTTTAATTTTCAGCGTGACACGCACATGTCAATTACATGTACCCACATGGCACCTGAAAAAAAAAAGACCAAAACCTGCGTAACCCGAGCTCCTTAATCTTCAGCGTGACAGGCACATGTCAATTACATGTACCCACAAGGCACCTTGGCAAATGGAAGAAAAATACCAAAACCTGCGTAACCCTAGCTCTTTATTTTTTACACCCGCATGTGAATTAAATGTACCCAAATTGCGCCGTGCCAAATGGAAGAAAAGACACAAACCTGCAAAACCCCTAGCTCTTTAATTTTCAGCGTGACACGCACATGTCAATTACATGTACCCACATGGCACCTGAAAAAAAAGACCAAAACCTGCGTAACCCGAGCTCCCTAATCTTCAGCGTGACAGGCACATGTCAATTACATGTACCCACAAGGCACCTTGGCAAATGGAAGAAAAAGACAAAAACCTGCATAACACTAGCTCTTTGATTTTCAGCGTCATCCCCACATGTCAACTAAATGTACCCACAAGGCACCTTGGCAAATGGAAGAATAAACACCAAAAACCTGCATAACCGTAGCTCTGCAATTTTTAGCGTTACACCCACATCTCCATTTAATGTACCCACATGGCACCTTGGCAAATGGAAGAAAAGAAGACCAACATTGGCATAACACTAACTCTTTCATTTTCAGCGTCACACCCTCATGTCAATTTTCTGTATCTTGTTATATGGAAGAAAAAAAGACCGAAATCTGCATAACCCTCGCTGTTTGATTTTTAGCATCACACCCAAATGTCAATTCAATGTACCCACATGGCACCTTGGCAAATGGAAAAAAATGACCAAAACCTGTGTAACCCTAGCCATTTTGACTTTCAGCGTCATTTCCACATGTCAACTAAATGTACCCACATGGCACCTTGGCAAATGGAAGAAAAAACACCAAAACCTGCGTAACCCGAGCTCCTCAATTTTCAGCGTGACAGGCACATGTCAACTACATGTACGCACAAGGCACCTTGGCAAATGGAAGAAAAAGACCAAAAACTCGTAACCCTAGCTCTTTAATTTTGAGCTTCACACCCGCATGTGAATTAAATGTACCTTGGAAAATGGAAGAAAAAAAGACCAACACCTGCTTTAATGTTCAGCGTCACACGCTCATGTCAACTAAATGTACCCACATTGCACTTGGCAAATGAAAGCAAAAGGCCAAAACCTGCATAACACTAGCTTTTTATTTTTCAGCGTCACACCCGCATGTCAATTACATGTACCCACATGGCACCTTGGCAAATGGAAGAAAAAGACCAACACTTGTGTAACCCTAGCTCTGTTGACTTTCAGCGTCATTTCCACATGTCAACTAAATGTACCCACATGGCACCTTGGCAAATGGAAGAAAAATACCAAAACCTGCGTAACCCGAGGTGACAGGCACACGTCAACTACATGTACGCACAAGGCACCTTGGCAAATGGAAGAAAAAGACCAAAAACTGCATGACCGTAGCTCTGTAATTTTCAGCGTGACACGCCCATGTCAACTAACTGTACCTCAACTAAGTGTACCCGCATGGCACCTTGGCAAATGGAAGAAAGAGACTGAAATCCTCAAAAACCCTGGCCCCTTAATTTTGAGCATCCCCACCATTGTCAATTCCACTATGGGACCACTAGAAGACCGCAGGTTTCGTCCTTTCCATTCACCAGGCTTCCATTTGCACACCTTTTTGACCACCACAGCTATTTGAACATCCGAATCACTCGGGCGATGGGGCGACCGAGTGACTCATGGACCACCACAGAAGATAAAAAACAATGCGCCAAGGAACTCCAGCAGGGATTCGATCAACGGCGCCGGGGAGAGCTGGTTGAGGCCTGGGCAGCTGGCGGCTCCGGCCTGCACCAGCCAGTCGAACATCCTCGGCGGCGGGGCTTCGGAGCTTCGGCGCCAAAGAAAGCTGCAGAAGCCCAAAGGGAAATGGTCCAAACCGTTTTGGATCGATCTTGGAAATGGTAGGTGGATTCACCGCCCATTTTAGGAAACCTAGTTTAGTGGTTGGATTGAATCGGATGTTCACTGGGGGCACGATTTGGCTTTGGGATTTCGACCCATGGCCGAGGCTTTGGTCTAGGAAACCACTTGGACGAGCGGACACCGTCCAGCCCAAAATCCCGGGTCTCGTTGGATCAGCCAAGTGTTTTTTGCTTGGATCTCGAAAAAATCGCACGCAAAAAGATGACTGCATCCAAAAGCTATGGGGAATTAGAAGGATGACTCTCAGCTGTTGAGGGGCTTTGAGCTTTGGTCGTGATATCGAGATCAAAGACGATGTTGCCCCAAGAATCAACTGAGAAGTTGGAAGTCCAAGCGCCAGAATGTCGCTTGAAGATACTCCCGAAGAAACCATTCAGCTTCAATGACCCATTTTCAGGATAAACTTTCACATGGCTGTGGGTCAAAAATAGGGCAACTCCAAAATGGGTTGCCCTGGTATATGCAAACATGGAAACCAAAACCTGCGGTCCGATTCCTGGTGGTTCAATTTTGACGGGTCCATACCCACATCTAAGCAGCTCCTTTGCCGCTGCCTTTGACTGAGTCCTCCGCATGTAGAAGTGCAGCACCGTGTAGAGCGCGGCTTCGAAGTTCTGCAGCAGCGTGGCCATGGGGTTCACGTTGGTACCTTCCCAACGAGCCCCGGTTGACCCCGGTGGGCGGTTGGGCGGTTGGAGACGCGCCCGACCCGTGCCTCGCAGGTAGTACTTGGCGGTGTGCTGCAGCACGCCGTCGATCTCGGGCAAGGAAAATGATGAACCAGTTTGGTTTGCTCAACAAAAATGCTGTTCGATCTCGGGCAAGACAAATGGCAGGTGTCTGGAATCGTTGGTCACCCGACCAAAAATGGGTTGCCCTGGTAAAAGAAAAAAAAGGGAAGGGACTGCAACCTGCGGTCCATATCTTGCTTTCGTTTTGACGATGGAGCTGAGGGCTCCACGTTGATTCGCTCGGGCACCACATCCCGAAAGTGCATGCGACGAGCAGCCACCTCCAGGTTCTCATCGATATTGAGACCTGCCGAATCGAAAATGCGTGCCTTGAGTGTCTTTTTCTGGGAATTGGTACCCCTTTCGTGGGGGTTCAATGGGACAAGAGGAAAACCGCCGATCTTGGGGGGTCCCCTGACGAGACACATTGTGAAATCCCGGTGCGCAGCACAGGGCAAATCGCTAGGCCATCCTTTTGCCCGAAAAGCGTAGCGTATGGCTGCGGGCTATGTCTCATGCGTGCAAAACACTCCATGCCATCATCCCTCAGTCAAGCTGGACAGCTGACCTTTCTTTTGTTGGCTGAGAGGGTGATGGTCCAGGCTTCCGGAAAAAGGTGATAAGCACACTAGCCGGCCGCCCAATCAGTCCTTGAGCGTTCTGCAAGGTCTTGGTGTCCACATCGCGCTCCAACTCACGCCACTCCGAGTGGCCGGAAGGCTCATCAAACCTGGCAAAGGTGCTCCGCATGTAGTAGACGGTCGGGTCAAAGCGCGGCTTGGGCAGCCTGTAGGACCTTGCAGACCTGGCAACGTGAATGCCAACTCCGTCCTGATGATGCCAACCCGGGCGTTCTCCCAGCATCAGCAATCGGTTGAAGATCTCATCCTGCGCATCCAGCGGCCGTCCGACGACCACTGTACTGTCTCCAGCCTTGAGCTTGGTGACCTTCTTGTTGGTCTGCTTCACAAAATCCGGCCTGTACGTCACGCACCATTCACAGCTCTTCATGATGCTGTGGAGGTGATCCGTGTCCATGTCCTTGGCGCCGGCGTCCACGAACATGTTCTCTGTGCTTGTCCAACGAAGTTTGGTGAGCTCCCTCCGCAACATTCCACGAAGCCAGGCAACTGTGAAGGCCAATGACTTCTGGGCTCCATACGAAGGCGTGTCACTGCAGCCCTTGTCGTAGACATCCTTGGCGTCTGTCACCACTGTGAGGGGCACAGTCTCCAGGTACTTGTCCACGTGCTTCTCAGCCATGGGGCAGCCGAGGGACTCCGCGATGTAACCACGGCAGTAGTGTCCAACATCCATAGCTTCTTCCACCCCAAGCAACTCTGCTGAGAAGGTGCTTCTGCAAACTCGTTGAAGACGATGGCTTCGAGCATCAAGCACCATGAAGCCACCCTTGCGACCAACCATCAAATCAGCGCTGGCGAGCAACACGAAGTGGGCCGCCTGGCTGTAGACCTTACGCACTGGCTCAGCATCTGTGCCACCGTCACGTGTCACATTCCCCAGACTTGCATCAGACACCACCATGAAACCTGCAGTTCCGCAAGTCCATGGGCTTGAAGCGCAGCTCAAAGTTGGAGTGCTCCTTGAAGCGCCTCAACAACTGGTTGGCCCTGAGCAACGTACCAACCACTCTTCGTTCACCTTGCAAAACCGACAACTGCAAACCCATGTCAAATCTGCAGTTCGCCACCAACCACTGAAGGCTGCCAAGAACTGCACGACATCGCTTGAACTCTGCGGGGGTAAGCGCAGCTTCCGGATCCTTCCGCCTTGCCAAAGGAACCTCAACGGGCTTCAGGTTCTCATGATACTCCCGCATGGAAATGCACACATCCCCGTTCGGCTTCTTCTCTATCAGCTTGCCGCAGTAGGTGAACTTGCCGGTCTCAATGGAACCAAACGTCAGCTCTTCCCCAAGCTTGTCCAGCGACTTCTTCGCCTCTTCGTTGCCACCCATGAGCAAGTCGTCAACATGAGAAATGATCAAGCCCAACAACACGGTGCGGTTGGGGTTCCACAGCCACCACATAGCAGCATCTAGGGCCGAGCGTTCCCAACCCAAAGCGGTCAGCGACTTGTGCAAGCGAGGGTACCATCGCCTTGGTGAATCTGAAAGGCCAAAGATGCCCTTCTTCAGTCTTGCTAGACCACCTTGTCCAAGAGGTAGCTGCGGCTCATCTCCCATGACGGTCACCCAATGTACAACTCTCGCTCATGAGGACCAAACAACTCACCCTTGAGGAAGGCGCTCTTCACATCTGCCGACCACAATTCCCATCCAAAGGAGGCGATGAAGGCCAGCAGCACATGTTGTGAAATTCTGGAGGCCGTCGGAGCGTCTTTCCAAACTGCATAGGTCGTGGGATCCGGAATCCCGGAACCACTAGTCGAGCATTGGCTTTCAACGGCAAGGGCCTTGACTGCGTCCGCAATCCATCATGCTTGTCCGTGAAGACAAAACAAGGGGTCAGGATCTTGTGCGTTTCATTGCTCGCCTTCAACCTTTCTCGCACGTCCTTTGCCTCTTGCTCGGACAACACTTCCACAGCATCGTTGTCCTCCCAGACTTGCCATCCACCTCTTGCAGCCACAGCGAACGCGCGCTTCTGTTCAGCATCAAGGCCTCTCCACTTGTACTCCTTGCGCGCTGTCTGAACTGCTTGCACTTCATGATCTCCACGAGGCCATTCACACCCAGCTCGTTCCATGGCTTGCCAGTAGGATCTCGAAGGAAGTGGCCAATCTCCACGCCAGGAACCGTGATCGAGTACAACTCCATCGAGTGGCGAAAGCCGATCACGTAGAGCTTGATCATGAAGTTGCCGTAGAGGATGATCAGGAGGGGGAAGATGTACCGCTTCCGACACATCAAACACCATTGGCTCAGCGAATCCACCAGGTTCCGGAAGGGCTTCAGGAGCTGGGGCCTCTGTGTCATCTCGCAGGGCTTCCGCACCCACCTCCGCGGGCCTCTTCCTGCTACTTGCGCTCTCCGCATCAACATCTCGGGCTCGAGCAAGAGCGCTTTCAAGAAGTCGACCGCCTCCAATCTGGCTGGCGGTCCGGATCACATCTGGCACAGGTGTGCCAGGTGCAGCGGTCGACGCACCATGTGGTGGAGCCACCGTACTGGCCCTTCTGGAAGACACCATCGGGGTACTCAAACGCGAAGTCCTCGGAGTGCTGAAAGTTGAGGATCCCCGGAAGACGGCAGAAGCAAACTCACTCGGCGTAGCCTCCCCGGTTGCTTCTCCAGAAGGTGCTGGTAGTTCGTGAGGTTGTGCACCATGTGGTTGTCCTTCATCTCCTTGAGGTGTGCCACGAGCAGTCATGTCTCGAATGGCTGCTTCAACCACATCTTCTATGGCATCTCTCCAGGTGTCTGCGGAAACCTGTTCGATTGCGCTGGCAGGCCGTACATGTTCAACAGCAAATTTGGTGAGCTGTCCTTTGAAGCTCACGAAGACGTTGGCGTGGCCCTCCTTGGCGATTAGTAGAGCCGGTCCGTGCCATCGACGAAGGCTGAGTCGCTTCTTGGAAGGCGAGGTCTTGTTGTTGACGATCATCCCAGGTTCAAGCTGTTGCTGATGTGTGGTGGTAGTAGATCGTGATCTCGCAACTTCTGCTCGGCTAAAATGCAACCTCGTCATAGCTACCTTTGCAGTCTCCCGGAGTGCCATCTGCCTCATCAAGTTGGGCCTGTGACCATCATCGATCAGCCCATGCTCTGCGAGTCGCTGTCCAACATCGCCAAGTACATCACCCACCATACGTGGTTGCCGTCCAAGAGCAGCTTGTGCAGGCGTGACGCCCATCTCGTTGATGTCCCCGTTGTAGGCAGTAACCGCTTCCTGCAGAGCAACGTTCAAATCTTGTTGGCCCGTCACGGAGTGTGCCTTGACCAGAGTGTGAACCAGGCCTTTGAGAATGCCACCAGCTCGTTCACAAACTCCGTTTTGCCAGGGGGCTTGCACCGCCGTGTGCCAAAGCAAGATAAAGTGCCTAGCACACATCTCCAACGAAGGCGTAGGAGATGAATTCTCGCCCCTGGTCAGCAACAAGTACCCGAAAAGGTCCAAACACGGGCAACCATCTTGTTGTAAACCAGGTCACGATCTCGTCTGAAGACTTCTGTTTCACCACCTCTGCCATCTGAAACCTCGAAGTGAAGTCCACCGCGTGGATGACGTAGAAGTTGCGGCCGAGAGCGTCAACCGCTTCGAAGATGTCCACGTGGACCTGGTCAGAGACGTCTTTGGGCACAGGCAAGGTGGCAGGCCTCCTTGTCTTCGGCTGTCTCTTTTCATCACAGATAGCGCATTTCAGACGCTTAGCAGCGACAATAGCTTGGGCAGGAGCTCCGGAAATGGCAAGTGCTCGGGCGAGACGTCTGTTCGAACGATGGCCCGTGTTCTCATGGAGCTTCCGCACAGCTTCCTTGACAGCTGCTGGCACCTGCAAGTCAGGAACTTTTTTTTTCTTCTCCGACTCACTCCCAAGTGGAAGAAGGGCAGGTGCTTCATCATCTTCTCCGTGTTCACCTTCATCTTGACCTTCAGCAGCAAGTACTTCCCGCGCTTGTGGATGGTCTCTTTCGAATTGAGCTTCCATGCCCTGCACCAAGGTTCTGGCCAAAGCTCTTGGGTAGAGTCCCGCAGCGCTCGTAATTCGGGAACCACCAATCACGTGAGCGTGCGTGTGGTCGCGTAAGCACTTGAGACCATGAAGGCGTCGATGAAGTTCAGAGCTGCTGGTTGCGATCTTCGTTGCCTTCCGATGGAGTTCTCCCGAAGCACTTCGAAGGCCAAAGCGGCATTGGTGAAAGGCCGCCAACTCAGCTTCCTTCTCCTCCAGGAACTTGATCATCTCCGGAAGCTTCCAGGCTTCACTCGTGAGAGGGTTCTCCATGAAGTAGTGTCTCCCTCCACGGATCTGGTCCTGGGCACGCTGGATTGCAAAGCGGATCAGCTTCAAACCTTCTTCACGCTTCTTGATGAGGTCACGTGCTGGGTTAAGCCTCATCAACGGACTCCAGGGACCACAAGGAAAGGCCAATGCAAGAAAGTAGGGCTTCTCCTTGTCAGTCTGGCGTCGAGCAGCTCGTCGGTCAAGTTCTCGGGTGAAATCCCAGCCGGTCTCCAGTGAAAAGGCAGCGCCGACCGAATGACCTCGACGGCGAGCCTCTTTCAGGATCGGCTGGGTCGTGGTATAGACCTCGGTTACAAAGGTCCGGGGGAAGTCAACCGTGGCCATGAAGACTTCGTTCATGTAGCCATTGAATTCCTCCAACCACTGCTCATGCATGACATTGAGGATCTCCCTGCCATTCTTGGAGACCAGCTTGCGATCGCGTTCATGTTTCTCCCAGGCCTGAGTCACCAAAAGTGCCTGGCCGGGTTTAAGTTCCTGATGCAGCTTCCAAGGGTTGACCACCTCCAAATTCCCGTTCACTGATTCATCCCGCGGCTCAACTCCTCCTCCAGCACACCATCTGCGAGTCTCCCGCGGCCATGTTGTGCCAAACAGTGCTGGAGTCCTGTTGCGTGTTGGAGTGAGAAAGCATCCCTTGGTACTTGATGTCCTGCTGTGCCAGTAGCGCGTGGACGTCCTGGACAGTGATGCCGTGAGTTGCCGATGAGGAACTCCATGAACCGACCTCGTCGTCCTGGGGCGCGCCCTTGGGAGTCATCTCCGTGCGCTCTGGCTGCTGTTGTGCTGGCTTGACTTCTGTTGAGGAACTCGCCGTAGAGCTCTTTCCTGGCTTCAACATGAAGGCTCCGACCACCGGTCGACACATCTGCTTGATCTGCTCGACGGTGGCTTTCTCCGGCACCTCGATGTGCAGTAGCGCAGGGAGCTTCAGCAGGTCTCCCTTCAACGTTGGGAGGCCTCCTCGGGGGCCAATGAGAGCTCTGACAGCCTCGACCTGCTTGCCATTGTCTTCCTCCTTTTGGGCCAGGATCTTGGCCTCCTTGATGGCCTCCTGCTTGATCTTGGCAGCCATGCCCTTTGAACACCTTGCGGCAAGCATGCCCTCCACCATGGGGTCCTCGAGGAAGCTGAAACGAATTCCCAGCCTGTTGCGAAGCCATGCGGCCGCCGTGAGGTTCTGCATGTTGTAGGCTCCATGCTTGAGGGCCAGTTCTGCATGTCTTCGAGAAAGGGCCTTGTTTTCCACCATCTGTTCGCTCTGCAACATCCACTGCCGTGTGGTTGAAACGCTGGGGTACGGGAACGGCACGTAGCGCAGAGATGGCCGTTGCAATAGCCACAAGAGCACGCCACGAACGTGCCATTGCGCTCGCGCGCGCAACCTGTGGACCATCCTTGCCCATTGCCCCTCCACGTTGACGGTTTCCTTGGCCTTTCGGAACATGGCTGTGGTGATCCGTGGTGAGGGGCGCTGAATCTTGGTTGGCCGTGATCGGCATTGCTGAAGGAGCCAAAACACCACCAGGATCACAACCGGCAGGCAGTCCCAAAAAGGCCACATCAGCTGCGCGAAAACCTTGTTCCGTCACCAAATGCTCATGGGGCTTGTTGGAGATGGGAGTTGCACCGCCTTTGAAGTTGAGCTTGCGTTTCAACCACTCCAGCCGACTGGCTTGAACTTCAATCACTCCATCTTGCCCAAACCGTCTCCAAGGATCCCGGCCTGTCTCTGGTGAGTGGGATCAAGTAACCATCCAAGTTGTCCGCTCTGAGCATCTTTCTGGAAAAGCTCAACACCGCCCCAATGGCATCCAAGAAGTCTCGACCAAGAAGAAGTCCAAGGCTGGGCACCTTCACAACTGAAATCCAAACCAGAACCAGGGAGTTGCCAACCATGATGGGCACCCTGACACGTTGCGAACTCCTCTGCGAACCGCCATTGCCAAACCTGAACAACTCATCCTCAGACTCGAACTTGATGAGGTGGCGAATCCAGTCGGGGGCCACTTCCAAATGCTTCATGTAGTGCCCTACCCAAACATCTCCAGAACAAGTTCGGTTGCAAGCGCTGTCCAACGCACCCATCAGCATTTTGTCCTGGGCGAGAGGCGCAGTCACAAGGGCCTCGTTGGGCTTGACCAGAATCTGGGGAAGAGGCGACCTGGCAAGGTGATGAGTCGCCATAACTTCATTGCCACCCTGCTCGTCCTCCTCCGGGTACACCTCAGTGGTGAGAGCCTCGGTGAGTCTCACCTGTTTCGCTGCCTTCTTTGCCATCGGCGTACGTCCAAGTCCTTGACCCGGCTTCTTGCACTGCGGATCACCTTGCCGCAATCGAAGCAGTTGGTCACAGCTTTGCGATTTGTCTTTCCGCCAGGGCCTTTTCCAACACCCTTGCCTGGATTGCCAGCTTTCCCATAGCCGCGGTCCTTGCGCACCTCTGCGATGCGATGCCTGGCCTCCCTCATTGTGACCAGACTCTCAGCAGCGGCTTCAACACCAGTCTCCAGCTCATTGACGAGGTTCGGATCAATCCCCTCGCTCTCAAGCTCCTGCAACTCAGCCGCAAGCACTTCCGCCTCCGACTGCAAGATGTCCTCCAGCGAATAGTCTGGCTCCTCATCTGGAACCAATTCATCCTCCTCCGGTTCCTGAGCAGGTTCATCATCTGCCTCCGCCACCATGGCTTGCTTGTGTGCACCAAATGCCGAAGAAGGTCTCCTGAAGGATCCTTTTCCAGAAGAGCCTGATGAAGGGAAGCTGCGCGATGGTCGGGTGCTCTGGCTAAATGAACTTCCGGATGAAGGGGCTGAGGTCCGATGCGAATACGGCCCATGGTGATGATTCTGCGACAAGAAGCGATTCATGAGGATGCCCTTGTCATTGCTTGTCCGTTGCTTGTTGAAGAGGGGGTCCGCAGTATGCAGATCACGGAACAGCCGCAAAACCTCGGCCTCGATTTCATCATAACCTTCACGGCCAGCAAGCGCCGTCTCCAGAAGTTGGCGCCTGAGGGGATCAAGCCCGAGGCGCTCTTTCAGAAACCACCCAAGCTCTTCCTTGGGCAATATCACGCCCTCACGCTTCAAGTCGGCTGCTAGGGTCCGGAACCTTGTGCAGAAGGTGCTGATGCGTTCACATGCCTGTCGGCAAATCTCCACATAGAACCGGGCCCTCAACTCTCCTTTGCGGTCCAGCTCCGACTTGCCAATCATCTCTTCCAACGCCTTGAGCAGCTTGACCAAACCAGCGAAGGGGTCCGCGGCCGTCACCACCACGGTAGCTCCGTCCTCGTTCTTTGTCGTCACCTCCTCAATGCCTTGCAGCTCAGAGGGGTCGTACTCCTCACAGCGAGCGCGAACAAGTCCGGATTGCCTCAAAGCCCAGCGAGCCGCGACATTGTACTTCTTGCAAGCTTCTGGATCTAATGAAGCCACCAACTCATCTCTCGGCGGAAGGTCCGCCAGTCGGCAGGATTGCCGTCCCACGTTGGCACCTTGTACCAGGCGCTCGTCGTCTTGTCATCCTCCGCCATGAGGGCAGCAAAGTGCCGCCAGCTTCTCGGCTTGTTGGGGTAGTCCCACAAAAAGGTGAAGTGGCCGTCTTAGATGGCCAGCACGGAGTAAAAAACAGTGAAGAGGGCGAAGCTGAGGTTCAGCTCCAGGGCGGTGAAAAGGGTCAGCCGCACTTACCGAAGATGCACGTGACCGCCTGGTCGAAGTGCTCCCTCAGCTGATGCGGTACTCCCTGAGCCCACGAAGATGCTCCCGGCCGCCTGGCCAGCGAGCTCCCACGAAGGTGCAGGAAGAGGCGTGCAAAGTGAATGAAGATCAAGCGGCGCGTGCCAGCGAAGATCAGGGCGTGCAGCGGGGCGAAGCAGCGCAGCGAGCGAGCCTCAGAAGGATACAGGCTCCGGTGCCACTGTGAAATCCCGGTGCGCAGCACAGGGCAAATCGCTAGGCCATCCTTTTGCCTGAAAAGCGTAGCGTATGGCTTAGGCCTGAATGGCAGCCGGTACAGCGGGCTATGTCTCATGCGTGCAAAACACTCCATGCCATCATCCCTCAGTCAAGCTGGCTTTTACACACATGTTTTGAGTCCGACACCTATCACAATACGTTGCCAAGCAGCAAACGCCGGAGATCAGCAAAGCAACATAGAAGACCACGGCTGCACTCAACGCGGAGAACCTCCAAACTCCGCCAAAATCACCGCAGGCTCTCCCGAGCGAAGCGCTTTGGCCCGGGCAGGATGAAGATCACCATCACCGGCGCCAGGCTTTTCACCACACCTCTCCATTCCATCCCCAGAACCCCCCAATCCATTTGTGTCCAACCCCCCCCCCCACCCTCACCCGGAAAAAACCCTCGCCCCCCCCCCCCCAATCCATGTGTCCACCCCCCCCCCCATTTTCCCCCACCCGAAAAAGGAAAAACAAAAAAAACGCTCGCCTCGCATCCACGGGTCGTTCAGCAGCTTGGGCCTGTCCCAAATGTAGCAGTTGATGCCTCGCGCGCCGCGCTTCCCGCGTCAAACGCGAAAACAAGCGGCGCCATGCGTGAGGCTCGCCGAGGCGCAGAGGAGCACTACCATGGTCAGCAGCATCACAAAGGCGGGCAGAATCCTCACGCTCCGCCCAGCTTGATTCCGTATGAGGACACTGAGGTCTGGGCGGGTAGTAGATGACCATGACGCCATAGTCGTGCACTGCGCGCTTGCCTATGCGGTATGCAGGCCGTCACTGCAGTCTGAATGGAAACCAAGCATATATATATATATATGTGTGTCCCTGCCGTCCCCTATTCTTTCTTTGTCTCTGCCTCTCTGCTCTCTCTCGCTCTCTCGCTCCAGAGCAAGTTCGAGCCTACCTCTGGCAAGCAAGACCATCATGGTGTCCAACGTGTCTCGAATGGCTTGGAGAATCACATCGACCTCAAGGTGCGCAACAGGCGAGAGAACCGTCCTCGCTGGTCCTCGCGCGCGCCTCCGCGAACTCGTCCATGAGGGCCTGCGCCAGCATCTGGACCAGGCTCGTGACCAGCGGGTTGTTGCTGCAGGAGTCTGGCGAGGCGACACAAAATGCAAGAGCAACTCAGAGCAACGCAAGCGACGCCTGGGGCAAAATACAGGCTCTGGTTGTAGGTCCGCTCTGCCTACGCAAGAAAAAACAAATAAGTCAAACATGCCTGTCCCACTGCAAAAGTTTTCTCTCGCCTCCACCAGTTCATTTGTGAGGTCCTGGAAGTGTCGCCTCGGGTTTTGGAAGGAATGTGCCAACTGGCAGTGGGTCAAAACCCTGCATTTGTGGTGAACATCAACCTGGGAAATGGATGGACCATGGCTCGAAATCCATAGGTTCCGCAACCCATTAACCGTCGACGGATCTGCTGAAAATTCCAAGCCGCATGGACTGCTGGAGCCGATTGAACCGCTCCTCGATGGCGTGGATGTCCCTCCGGGTTTGCTTGAAGCGAATGACCTGCGAGGCCAAAACAACACCACACCCGTGGCCGTCTTTCAGGGAAATGGCGGTCAAAACCGTTTTGGATCGATCCCATTTTGGGTGGTAGAATTCACCGATTTTAGGTTACCTGTTTTAGTGGGGATTGGGATGTTCACTGGGGGTACGGATTTTGACCCACAGCCAAATGCATCGCAAGAGAAAACGCTGGCCTGCAACACGCAGAAGAACAAGAGACATACTGCCTGACAGACCCAAAAACCCCACACGCGCCCCAAAAGCCAAAAAGAAAGAAAAAGAGAAGCGGCGACTGAGCCAATGACCGAGAACACGATGATGCCCTTTCTCGTTGCTGGCAGCCATTCGCACTGGTCCCCCCGCGAGAAGTCTAAGACCTCGGTTCGGCAAAAAAGTCTTCGCCGGAACGGATGCGAATTCGAATCGGATGCGAATTCGGATGCGAATCCGGCGAATCGGCGAATCGGATTAGCGAGGCGAAGGCCCAGCAGGTCTTGTAGGCCACGAAGATCCCCACGCCGAAGAGCACCAGCGGCACCAAGCAGCAGCCCCTCGCCCACTCGAACCAGTCCTCCGTGAGAAAGATCAAAAGCAAAACCGCGCCGCTTGGCCAGTGACAAGCCGAAAAGAAGTGTTCACTTTTTGGGCCAAAAGGGCGAGCCACCAAGGAAACAAGTGGTTTTCAGTGTGTCCACTGGCTGGGTGAGCATCAGCATTGACTCTTGAGGGTGCCCCAAGTACTTCACAGGCTCGTGGGACCCAGATCTCAAACCCCTGCGTCAGCCGCCGGTCTCCTCCGCGCGAGCCTTGGGAAGCGGCACGGGCCCCACGGCGCCAAGCCTCGGTCGCGCGGGGCCCGCCGGACGAGTCCGCCCGGATTTTTCTTTTTCGGGGAGCCCGGGCCTGAGGATCAGCGTGTTGTGGAAGTCCACCTTCCAACAACACGAAGTCAAGGGGCGTTCGAGTGTCGCCCCATCCCCTCTCGGAACTCGGAGCATGTTCAAATGGATGTGGGTCAAAAATAAAATACCAAGACACCCCCAGATTCCTTCGTAAAATGGACCAAACCACTGGAAGCTTATTCTCAAAGAGAAAAAAAGGATACCTAGGTGTTGACCCCCCACATCTCTCTGCTGCCGTTTTCAGGCCGAGACCCGGCAAACCCGAGAAACCCGAGGCCGCGGCCCTCGGGGCCTTCGCGCCCATAAAGCACCTGACCCGAGCGGAATGATCAGAAAAACCGGAAAGGAAAAACAAAAAGGCCTGGCGTGTTGAGGATAAGCATCGGCGTAGCAGTATCCTCATGCGTGGCATGCGTGGCTCCCAAAAAAACACGGGGCCCGCGAAAGAGTCCTGCATGCGCGTAGCAGTTTCCAACCACCTTGTGCTTACGGCAAGTCAGAAAATTCTGGTTGCAAAGGGGGTGGGTGGGGTGTTAGTGGGCGTTTTCCCTGAGCCGCGGGCACACTCGGAATTCTCCTGACACTGGGTCGCGCTGGAGAGGCAGGTCCTGACCCAAAAAAAGGGCAGCACATCGGCGGCTCATCCGAATCCGAATCCGTTGCCGCGGTCCAGTACTTGTTGGTCTTCGCGCACCTCCCAAAAAGTTCCAGCTAAGGAAGAGGTGGGCAGCGTCTCGCTTTGCCGGGGCACGGCACACAGTAGGCCGCGCAGCTCGGCCATGTACAATCCTCGGACTTTGACGCTACGAAACCCTTGACCGCGTTGAGTCCCTTTCATGATGCGGCGTCCGAAAGCGAAGCTAACTCAAGAAGACCGACCGTGCGAAGACTGAAGGCAGGGCAACAAGGGCAAAGCAACCATTGAGGGGACAGGATGATCGACATGACATGGGTATGGGTCAAAATTAAACCACTAGGGGACCGCGGGTTTTAGTCCATGCTTCCATTTACCAGGGTGCCATTTGGGGGTTAGCCGATTTTTGACAACCGCCACCTCACTCCGCGCCTCAGACTTGTTGGCCTGCTCGCTCTTCAGCCGCACCACCGAGGCGTCTTCTAGCACAAGGCCCTGGTCGAATCCGGCGATGAAAAGTGGACTCTCCCGAAACGATAGGGTTCCTAAGGGTTGACTCAACCATCGTTCTTTTCAAAAACCGATCGCTTCTTTAATCAGGGTTTTGGGTGGTTTAGAAAGGATGCCTGGAGATGCGGGGGAAAAGGTACCCCTAGATTAGTCCTAAGCACTCAAATCCCTCGGCGCATCCGAGGGGCGAGAACTCGATCCAGCATCTCCGAGGACGTCTCTGTCCTGCGCGCTTGCGACGTGATCTACTGAGACGCTTAGGTCCGATGTCCTGGCGTCGGAGTTGTTTGAGCGGTTCTTCAGTTCCTCCAAGAACTCTTTTGCCTGCTCTTCGGTGGGGGGAGCCGGCAACCCTTGACCTCAGTCGGCAAAAGAAACGTGGCAAAGCCAAGGCTTTTTCACGAAACCTGAGTCCCCCACCTGCCACGCACGCCAGCAGCAGAAATCCTGAGTCTGACAACGCCTCACGAGCCATGGCACGGACCCGTGCCTGCATATCTCAGCATAGGGGAAGCTGCCGTCGCTGAGCCTTGCTTGCAGGTATATCCGAAATTGACCTTGGCGCGTGGTTATTATCAAGGGATCTTGGCGCCCACGGCTTTACTTGCCACCGGGGCGGGCAAGCTGCCAACGCAAACATCGGACTTTCCTTCACCCGAGACTCACTTGAGATGGAAGCCCCCGGAAAACGCCATGCGGCCCCCGCCTCAAAGCAAAGGGCAAGCCGAGGCTGCCGCCATTGAGCCAACGCGGCAAAGGGACATTGCTCTCGCGTCGAATCCGCACGAACTTCGCGCGGTACAATGAAAGATTCGGCATGCGCGACGGCTTCGATTGAGGCGGGCGCGCAGCGAGTACGAGCACCTCACACATCCTGACCGGAAGCCGCGAAAGGGGCAGCCACCCAATCGCTTCAATGGGGCTCCGGTCCAACCTGGGGCCCCCACGTGCTGCTGAAAGGCGCGGCATAGTGCACGAAAAAGCCCGCCTGCACGTAGTGTCAGGACCTGTCCGGACCTGTCGCCTGTTTACCCCATCTATCCAACTGTCCCAAAACCTGTTGACCCGCACTTGCCAAACGAAACTCACGAATGAGTCCTACTTAGCGAGCTGAGGCGCGGGCGGTTGCGAAGCAGAACACAAAGGCCGCCCACCTTGCCGCGCGGCGTTTTATGACTTGCGCTGATTTCCCCAAAGGTCTGGGCGGCAACAACAGCGCGAGGAGCAGCGGCAAGCCTAAGATTTCAGTTGGGCCCTCCCTGCGTAAAATGTTGGTGCTAAGAAACCCTCAAATCATTTGATTCCACTCGAGGCTCCAGCAGTTCACGCGACGGCGGCGTTTGAGCGCCCTGACGGGATGTGGCCCGGGAAAGCCGTCCCCCCAGCAGGAGTTTGACTCCTGGCAGCTTCCGCGTCGGGCTCCTCCAGGGCACCATAGCGCCCTGGCAACGCAAACTCAAAGGTGGCTGTCACTTCCATCAAGTGCAATGCAAATTGTGGCCGGCCGCGCCCCAGCCCTGAGTGACCCGCTAAGACATGCGGCAAACGAAACGGGAAGTTGCTGAGCCACGCGCCGTCCACGGCACCGCGCCGGGCCTCGGCCAGAATCATGGTGCATCTTCCAAAATGGCAGAAAATTGTCCAAAGGCCAAGGGCGCCGCATGGCTTCTGCATTCAGTCTGAAGGGAAAAATCCCTAAGCCCAAATGACGGCGAGCCAGATTCACTTGGCTCTTCTAAGCCTGCCTTTCCAAGACGGCATGTGAAAATGGAAAGGTGGCCAATTTGGTTGCGAGCCGTGGGCACAAAAACTGAGGCCTGCCAGATTCTTTGCCTCCGACACGTTTGCGCAGTCACTAAGGTCAATCATAAGAACTGCCTTTCTGACTTGCTGTGCGTGTGAAGCGTTGAAAAGATGTGCGTCCAATCGAAGCCGCCTCATCCTGTTGCACAAATCATGCCATTCAGAGATCAAACGCTTGTAGCTGCAAGTGCAAGTTCTTCGGTGCAAAAGACCAAATCACATTGCATGCCCACGTCAAGCGCGCTAAGCGAGATGCAAGCTCGAATCCTGTTCGATCTCCGCAGTTTTTGCAGCGGCTGGGAAAGTCATCGCGACTGTTCGGTACAAAAATGGCAAAGTACCTTTTCGCACACTTTCGCAGCTCCGTAGTATGCGAAGTACACCTTTGCAGCTCCGGCTGGAAGATCGCAGCGGTCGACTTGTCGATCGCCAAGTTCTGTGCAGCTGGGCGACTGGCAATGAGAGGCCGAGGACTCCTACTTAGGCCATTCCAAAGCAGATGCCTGGCATCTTGATGGGCGGGGGCCAAGTCGCAAGCAAATTCCACACGTTTGTTTCTTTACCCGCCGGCCCTTTCAAAATGCAACATATAGGCAAAAAAGGAAACAAAAGGTCGGAACAGGCCCCTGAGTCCCCTAGGTTCCATGGCCTTCCTCAGTTTCCCCAATCTGCTGGCACGTCCTGCGGAATGGCCGTCGAACTGCTTTCCTCATCAAACCATTTTGATTCATCCGGGCCAACTCAACCTTCAGGGCCGAGCCGCCTCGTTCGGTAGAAGGCTCTGCCTGTCCCAGCATTGTTTTTCAGGTACAAAGATCAACTGCTGTCCATCGTTTTGTGGCAGAACCCTTGTTAGAATCCTGTTCACTGCTTCAAGCTAGCGGGGAAAACATGTAACCCAAAAAAGGCAACGAACTGAAACGTCTCGATCCGCACCTTTTTTGTCTGGTGTTGCTCAGAGGTGCAGGCTCAGGGGCGCAGGGAGGTTGACAACGCGTGTCCAATCCCGCACCACCCCATGCGGAGCTTGTCATCATACCCCCACTGTCTATCGCCCCCACAGTTGGGTTGTTTTGTGTGGCTGGGTTTCATGCCCCTTTTGTGTGGATGATAGTACTCTCCTGCATGCCAGCGTCGGCTTGCCGCCCGGACGCCCGGACCGCTTGCTACTTTTGGAATGCTGTTTTACTCCTTGCCGCCAGCATGCTCGCCAGCCATTTTGTGTTCCTTCCCACTTCACTCATCAGCGACCTTGCCGCCGGGTTGCATGATTTCGGTCAACGCAAGACTGTGGCCTTCGTTTGTTTCCGCGCTCGATTCCAAAGCTGCTTTAATCAAAACGGTGCACGACATATTCATGCCTCTCTGCAGGGTCCTGGAGCACAAGGGCAAAAGCATCCATTGCCCCGCCGACCTGCCCAAAGTTATCCAAAGCCACAGTGCCGCCTCGCGAGCAAATCTGTAGCCTGGTTTGCAGAAACTTGCAACTTCTCCGAAATTCAAAAACAGTGGCCACGTCTTACCAAACAAGCCCAGCGATACATGGTCAGTGATCGCATCGCATCTTCCCGGCGAGCGCAACGTTTGGGCAGACCAGCTTGGTTGCACACAGGCCAACGGCCAGAATGCGCTTCAGTCCGCTTTTGGACATTGCATACCCAATAAAGAACACCGCCCAACTGCCATCCCCACCTCTCAGCAGAGGAAGTCCCTTCTTGTTGCCTGAACCTCTCTCACAATTGTAGGCTTGGGCAAGAAAAGCAGGAGGCTTTCGCCAGCGGATAAGGCCCTTTGGTTGATCATAAGGGGGATCTTCACTGCAGAGTTGTCCTCGCCATCGCCAAACATCGGGGAGATGACACAGTTGGCCTCTTCCTCAGTCTTGCGCACCATGAAGAAGGGACAGAGCACCGAGCGGTCAAGGCTGCCGTCCTTCCCTGGCAGGGAAAAGGGAGAGTGGATAAAGAGCTGCACTCCGTCAATCTTACCGAGAGGCAAGCCGCCAGGCTTGGTCTCCAACTTGTGACTGCTTGGAGCCAAAACCATTTTCCCGTTTGGGAAAGATTGCTGGCACACGACATTCCTCATCGGCTTCACTTGAAGCTTCAAGCCCTCCATGGTGTGCTTGCAGCACGGCCACGCGACCGCGGACTCCCATGAGCTGCAACAGGTGAAAGTTGGTGCCTGCAAAATCCTTGTACACTGGCCAACTGAACTCGAGGGACTCTGCGGGCTTCTTGACGATCTTCCAGTCCCCCCTCAAAAAAGCTGGCCACTGCCACCTTGCACACACCGCAAATGAACTCTGCTCTCCATAGAGCGGATCTGGCCGTGGGCTTTGTCCTTCTTGCGGACCACGTAGGAGCCCACCTGGAATCCTTTCTCCTTCAAAAGGACAGACTGATCTCGCAGCTCGCCCTCAGAGTCGTAAGCCCTTTGCCTTGGCAGGAGATAGCAGTTTAAGGGTTGCATATAACCCCGGAAATTTGGAAAAATGAGGACGACTTTTGCGGAAAACAAAACAGCCCGGAGTAGTGTAGCAAGGTGCTCGGTGTTCTGCGCACACTGTTCGGCCTTGGAAGAGCCGGAAGGGCTCTCTCTGCGCTGGCCGTGCTCCTCGCAAATCCTTTTGCCAGTCAAAGCTTGCACCTCGTCCACAAGTTTGCTGCAAGCCTCGGACATGTCCAGGCCTTTGACCTTCTGCAACGCAATCAAGACCAGTTAGAATCTTGATCACTGCTTCAATCCGTAAGGGAACATGCATCAAGAGACAAAAGAGAACGACCGCGCTTGCTCTTTTTCTTCATAAGGCGTTGCTTTGGAAGTCAAGGCTCAGGGGTGCAGGGGGAAAGACAGTGCGTGTCCTTTCCCCGTGTCTGCACCCCCCTGCGGAGCCTTCTCACATGCCCCCGCGGTCAACAGAGCGTGTTTGACCAAGCGCCAGGTGTATTACCTGTGAGGCGTTAAACAATCGAAGGCATGGGTTGTTGTAGGAAGCTCTGCGGGCAACCTACTGGTGCGCATGCGGCACACACTGCAAGGTTGAGACCTGGCTCTGCGGGCAACCTACTGGTGTGCATGCGGCACACACTGCAAAGCCTGCATGCGGTGCGCTGGCCTCTGGGGCACCAGCTGCGGCTGGGCCCTGGAGGATGTACCTGAGCTGTGACAGAGTGGCTGGGAGGGCGCAAAAAAGAGGGTTATACCCTAAAGCATGCCTTAGGTGGCTTGAAGCAGGAAAACGGCCACGCGTCCGAAGATTCAATCAAGATTAAAACATAAGGGAAAATGAGAACCCTAAACGTTAGAATCTTGATCACTGCTTCAATCCGTAAGGGAACATGCATCAAGAGACAAAAGAGAACGACCGACAAAGAGTGCGCTTGCTCTTTTGCTTTATAAGGCGTTGCTTGGAAGTCAAGGCTCGGGGGTGCAGGGGGAAAGACAGTGCGTGTCCTTTCCCCGTGTCTGCACCCCCCTGCGGAGCCTTCTCAAATGCCCCCACTTCAGGGTTCCAAGCAAACGGCCTAATCTATTGCCCCCTCTTCAGAGCGTTTGCGAAGCACTCTTATGCTCCGGCCGCCACGGTGCGTCGGGCGGATGCAATGACAGCGCGGATTTATGAGGCCAGAAATCACGAGGGCGAAATCGAAAGCGAGCGTGCGGCTTGCTGTCGAACGCGGAAGTATTTCCGCGGCTGAGC